AAAAGAAAACATATATAGGCTTTTAACCAATCAAAATCAATTGCTCAAAAATTAGCCAATCAGAATTGATTATATAAGCACCAAAAATTGGCACCTATATATATAGATTGGATGTCTCTTGCTGTCCCGCACTGTACTAATTAGTAAATTATATGACTAAATACTTAACAGTAACTCATGATAGAGTTAACACCTCTATCCGGATTTATATATCCAAATATATACTATGTCATGTGATATAATGTGATATAATATTTTTATATCTGAATATAAATAAATCTGGATTTAAATTTATATCTAGTGTTATCAAAAAAACAGTTCAAACCTCTTTCCAACAATCATTTGGACCACAATTTCTAAAAAACTTTTTACTAGAAAAAAATACAGTACACTAGAGTAAAAGTCGATGACTTCTTATGTAAGACATAGGAAAAGAGACTGTAAGTCAATAGCTGTTATTTAGAGGTAGTTCTCATATGCTACTTGCTAACAGTTTCAGAGTTTATCACTTACTAACTGCAGGCACAGCACTTGTCATTTAGAAGTAGTTCTTATACACTACTTGCTGACTAATGATACCACTGAAATTGATTTTCAAAAAAGGCCTATTTCATCTCCATTAGAGCAAAGTAAAATTTTTTATAAGAAAGAGCAAATAAAATTTATATATTTATACTCCTTATAATTTCGTTTATTCAAAAAAAGTGTCAAAAAATTTCGTCTTTTAAGTAAAATAGGTCAAAAACAATTTCATCTTCAAATTTTAATTTCAGGTTTTTAAACCTAAAATAATTTTGTTAGCATGTATATTGCCGACAAGTTCAGAGTTTATTACTTATCGAAAAGACTAAGTACTGTGCAGACTCCAGTAGATAGTTGATTCTAGTAAAAGAAAACATACGCTCTTTTGGTGGTTTCAAGTGTTTTCTCTCTCTCTCGTATTTTGCCAACCTCACCAAAAATTTTAACAAAAAGTGGGCATTCCAGCTTACCCCCTCCAAAAGATCGGCATTGTTTATACTTATCTAATTCGGACGAACTTAGTAGAATGCAACCATGTGTTTGTTTTATTTATCACTACAGTGCTATGGTATGGGAATGAGATCAATAACCCCCGTTTAGGAGATACTCAATCTTGGTGACGTGTTTAGAACAAGTCCCAACAATAAAGTGAAGCTTTACAGCTGAGATATATTAATTAGTTGCAATTAGTATATAATTTTTACCTTTATACCTGGCACAGGTTATAATAGTGTATTTTTCTTTTTTTTGTTTCTTTTGTTTGTTTTTTTTTAAGATGGTTCATCAGGACACCTATGTCTTTTTTTCTGCTCTTTTCATCTTGTTTCTATTATGATGAAACAATATTTAGGACTCCTTTTTTTTTCAGTTAAATGCTTTTTTTTCTTTTTTTTTGTTTTTCTCTTTCTTTTCCTAGATAGTTTTGTTTTCTTTCATATATGTGGCATATTTTTTCTTCCCTTATGGAAAAGTAAGAAATAAACTATTCTGTCCGGATCTAGGTAAAAAAAGTTTAGAAGAAAAAATAGGTAGTCTTGACAAGCCGGTAGGAACCTTTCAGTAAAGATTTATTCTTTGCAAGTACAGTAGAGAATATTTTGGAGAAAAATCCTGCCTATAGCAGGTTGCATATAGATAATTTGAACTCTGGTTACAATGAGTGCAGGTGTATACTTGCTGGCAAAACCCGGACAAATCCCAAATTCAAAAAAAACAATTGCTATTTGTAAATAATTAAATCAAAAAAGTAGTCTTAATATTTTGTAAATATATTATTTATAGTAATAAAAATATCTACTATTTGTTTAAACAAAAATTATTAATAAAGTTTTTGAAAAATTAATTTGGAATGAATTTGGGATTTGGGCGCGGACAAATCCCAAATATAGTAATTTGGGATTTTGCCAACATGTATAGCCGAGTGAGCTAATACTTGTAATTTAGGTGGCGTTAGGGTTTATACTCTATGAAAATTTTAATATTTTACAGTATAATATTATAAAGCCTAATAAAGTAGAGGCAAAACTGCTAAACTGTTAAAAAAAAAAAAAAAATTTATATCTAGTAGTAACCTGCATATATCTTTCAAAACAGGGTTAACAGTTCAATTAATAACAAAGAGTCACATGAACACAGAGACACAAAACCATGTAGTGGTTTGTTATAGTTGTTAGTATATAGACAAGCAAGAGAGTTTATATATACAGTAAATTGGTAATTCAAAAGAGTATATGTATGTATTTTATAAAATCAAAATAAAGAATGTTCTTTATTAAAATATGTATTAATTATCTAATGCTATGGCAAGCATGCTTACAAAGTGGAGCAAAACTCACCTGTAGATATAATAAAATGACTACTACTAAAAATATATAACATTTATGCTATAAATGTTCAATATATCATTAATATTATTAATTGCATTACCAACATTTATTTTGTTTTCACTTCTTATACCATTTTTTTCATATCCACCTCTTATGCAAGAAGTGGCTAATATGACAGAAATGGCAGATCTGGCATTTTTGGTACAGTATCCTGGGACCTAAAACTAACTCGTAACTCAAGAAACATCTAGAGTTTATTAGCAGGAGTAATACCAAATATAAATAAATCCATATTTAAATTTATATTCAGATTTATGCTATGATAAATCCAGATTAATCTGGAATAAAAAATATATCTGAATAGAGGTATTAACTCTAATTTATAGTAGAAATTACAATAATTCTAACTATTATATACTACTGGAATAGCAAATAAGTTTTACAAGAATATTTGCAATAACTTATAAATGAATTGTGATAATTTTAATATAAACTAACTAGATTTTAAAATATTTTATATGCTAATGAAATATTGAGTAAGTTTTGAATGAAGATTTTTGCAGAAACTCATAATAAAAATCACAATTATTTGAATAATACTAACTTATTCACATATATATTATCAGATAGTTATTAAATTATATAGATTTAAATATATCTTATTTTCTGATTTAATACAACAACATTGTATAACTATTTTATATATTTTGAATTTTACTTGCACATCTGATCATACCGGCATCATAAGCTGCGTAACTATTTTAAAATTTAGCTTTAACAAGGTGTTTAAGAATATCCAAAAATATTATGTACCTGTTAGGCTATAAAATCTAACCAAATAAACAATTATATAACTAATTTTGAATCATGCTAGAGGATATTAAATTTATTATTAAGGCTATACCAAGCTGATTTTTAGTTTAACATAACTCTCCAGTTTTTGAAATTTGTATAAAATATTATACATATTATTAACCAATCAAATTGTAGTATTGGTTTTTAAATTTTTAAAAATTTTACAGCCAATAGAATTGCGGAAGGTTTTTTTTTTATTATATTTTTTTTAATCCCCCCCTCTTTATAAAATATTTTATATTATGTTAGTGGAGTTTGAATTCCGAGAATTCTGATTTATACTTTTATTGTTAACGATATACTGAAATATGATTGGCTATTCGATTAGATTTGTCCGGCGGACAATTTTAATTGTCCGAGTCCGGTCCGAGTGACACTGCCCTGGTGGGGTATTTGCCAAAATTTCGAATGTTCTAGATTGCAGATCAATGAAGACTGATAAACAAGATTTACATTTTCTGATCTCACAAGTCTTGTCACGTAAAGAAGGATTTACTGATTTTTGAGAGGTTTTTTTAAAATAAAACAGTAAACCTATTGAGTTATTTATCTGTGTGTACTGATTTTTTTTCATAAGTAGTCATAAGTGATGTCGTAAGTTTTTTTATATTCTAATACGTACGACGTAATTTATATCGAACTAATCATTTGCATAATTGATGTAGTAAGTCGGATGAGCTAGCTAAATCCTGTTCTTTAATGGATGGTTTAACCGTAAATCGTGACTTGATGAATAAAATCGTAGATCAACAATTTGAATTATTTCCAAGAGACTTAGAATTGATGATTGGCAATGCAAAATGTAACGATAACATATGTAGGTATGTTGTTTATTTATTATTAAATCCCCGTAGATATACATTATATTTATCGATCATTCAAATTATTATTTATGAAAATCGGTAAAGTTGATATCGATACACTTCAAAACTTTAAGGAAAAAGAGATGCAATTAATTCATAATCTACAAACGGAATTGAATTGCATACAAGAACGGGTAAGTAGTATTCGAGGAGACTTCTAATTAATTTAGTGAAAGCCAACAAATTTGTATTACTAGTTTCAACGTGCACACGAACAAGATTCGAATCAGCAAACCTTGAATAAACTTGCTCAAGTCACTAAAGAGCTCTCATTACAATTGGAAAGATTTTACAAAATATATGATAATGAGATTGAACCATGGGTAGGAAAGGATCAAAAAAAAATTCTTGATGGTAAGTTTATTTGCATGATGTTTCTTCTCATCTTATATATCTTTAACGTGTAATATAATTCATGTCCCTAGGTTTGGGTTTGCAGGTGCACGAAGCAAATTCAAGACTTGATAACTTACGACAAGTAAATATTTGATTGTTATAAATACTATCACTCACATGGTTAATTTGATCATATTCAATTTATTTATTTATTTAGAGACTTAAAGACTTTGAAATTATCCACACGTCATATGAAGATATAATCTCTCACCTTTCAAGTATTATAAAACCCCAAGCATCAGATAATAATCAGATAAGTGAGCTATCTGCTAAATCAAATATAAACACAATCAATAACTGGGGCGAAACTGGCTTAGATGCAATAGAAAGGTTACATAACGTTGAAAAAGTGTTGAGAAATGGAATTGTAAGAAGGGAAAGAGGTGGATGAAAAAGACCATATTAAACGCCATGGTTGCTTTATAATGTTAATTCGTCGAACCTGAGTTAAATATCACTTACATTTAGTAAAAGCCTTATTATATTTGATATATTCGATAAAGCCGATTTGTGTGAATAGATTGAATTGCACAAAAATTAAACATTTCCAACACCAACAACAGGAACACCAAACATCTTAGCATATTTCGTTAATTCTTGATTTTCAGTCACAAATAAGATATCATCGATATTCGCTAATCGTGCAAAATAAAGCCAACAGCTTAATGTAGGGCGAAATTCTTGTGGAATATTGGTTATAGGCCTTTCTTCTGTGATGTTATTATCATATCGTTCCGTAGAATCTTCTGTTTTTTCATTTTTATGAGCCTGTGAAGAGTAATCACGGAAATTTTCTTCGATAAGAAACTCTTCCGCAGAAGCCCAATGAGGTAATTTTTCATTCGCTTTTTGTGCACGGATAAAATGTTCACGGTTCCGTTGACTACCGATTTGGTCCAAAAACCTAATTGCTTCTCGTGCTCTCACATTTTCTTGACTATTACCCTTCTTGATCAAATCTAAGGAATCAATAACTTTAAAAGATCATCAATTTGTTAAGATCGGCAATTTTGTAAATTATTAAAAATGTCTAATTAAGTAAATAAAAAAATTCACACCATCCAAAGGCACAATCACTGTATATTTTTCATCTGCAACCCAATTTTTGACAGAGATTAAATGGTTGAGAATGACGCTGGTATCAACCACGCATTGTTTTGGCGAACTTTTAGGCTTTGATATGGCACTTTCGGAAAGAGAAATAGAAATCGAGTTTGGACTCGTATTAGACCGACGAGCGGAAACCCCAATTTTTTGTAATTTATTTTCCATTGTGTCTATTTCATCTTTTAAACGTTGTTGTGCCATTAATTTCATCATACGTTGTTGACGTTCCTTTTTCTGTCATTGAGTTATATTAATAATCAATGTTATCTTTCGGACAGAAAGTACAATGTACAATGCTCTAAATGAACATTTACCTTACTTTCTTCGTCAATTAGCGTAAATTGACCCGCAGATTCGTCATAATGAAGAATATCAAAAGACTAAATATAATTGTAATTTAATAAGTCGATTGTCCAAATGATAAACAAATAAAATAAAAAATAAACCTTGACGAATTTTTTCCCGAATATAATTAATCTAGCAATCATCACATGTAAAGGATTGGCATTATTTATAAAATTTAGATTCCGTTGAAAAGGGCGAAAAGGAACTACCCCTAAAAATTCTACATCCTCAAAAATGGAATGCTTTGCCAATTCCGCGAGATCATGATTCGCACTCAATAAATCATAGATTTTTGGATTATTAAGAATGTTGGCAAATGATTTGAAAAAATTTCTCATATTCTAATTTCAGAAACAGTAGGTTATAAACGTGTAAATAGGATAAAGGTATTGATCGATATAAGTTCCATTTACCGTCAAAAATATTCCTGCTATCCTTTCATTTTCTTTTTCTATAGATTTTGAATAATTGTACAATTGACTTAAAAGATCCATTAACGTTCCCAAATATTGGCACCATATAGAAACAGCAGGTAAACATTCTTTTACAATTGCATCTGACCCGCTCTCAAAATCCCACGTTAGATTTATATTCTCCATAACGGGAATCAAAAATCCAAACCCTAAACCTATAGTCATGGATTCTATATTTCGAAGCTCTGTAGCTCGATTTTGAGCTTATAATTATAAATTTGAACAGTTATTAGAAATTTAAAGGAAATAAAGAGCAGGATCATACATACCTGTCCAATTTCGCAAATCCCAAACCGTAAAAATAAGAATAAATACAATTTTTTTCAACAGCGAGCCCAAGTTTTGAAGACTGTCATTTTGAGAAGATAATAAATGCGTAAATTGGTCCAATATTTCTTCTGGAACAACGCTATATTGTATCAAGTATGGAATTATTTATTTATATAATAATATAAAATTTTCAAGCTTTTAAGATAACTTCATACTTTTCAGCGTCTTTCTCAAAAAGATAGCGATGAGTGATTAAAAACTTCCTTTCAAAATCCCTAGCGCCAGATCTATATAAAACATTGTAAAATTAATTATATGTTATAGAATACGAAAATAAATTCAAAGAACTTACAAAACATTCGTATTCAAGTTATCTTGCCGAATTCGTTGAGAAAATTTTGTATAAAATACTTTTAAATTCTCAGCAGATATGTCTGGTGGCTGTTTTGTTGCAAGACTGATGAAAAAACCATTAATTAAAATCAAACCGGTAAAAAAAAAAAGAGAAATATTTGCAGAATAGTTTATAATCACAATGGCATACCTAAAGCAATACCAATAGACAACATCCAAATCATTATCTCGAAGCATAGAAAGAAGAGCTAATTGAGCTTGGGCTTTTCCTAATTTATAATAATTCAAATTTAAAAAAAAACTTTCTTTTTCATAACTTTATTAGTATATCATTAAGTATACCATCTTCACAGTAGACTCTTGCGGCTTTCATGTAAAATTGTTTAGAAAATTCCCAACGTCTTTCATCAGCCCCAAGTAGCGTCTCACGATACCGAGCAAAATCACCAAGACGAATAAGACAACGTTGAATAGATTCAGCAGTAAGTTCTTTTCTACGTAATTTAGAAGCAGAACGCGGAGCAGGAGGTGAAGTGGTGACAGTATTCTTAAAAATTTCTGAATAGAATGAATTAAATTGTTAAAAAAATATAATAAATATTTAATATAATAAATAATTATAAAAGCAACAAACCAATTCCGATTCGGTCCAAATTTATATTTTCACGAAGTTTTAAGCTATTAATGATAGTGTGATAAAATCCAGTCCCCAAGTCCAGGTAGCGGTATAATTCAAGGTAAACGACTTGGTATTCGTTAGCTTTCTCATTCTTATCGATCTGTTCGATAAAGAGGAATTTTTTAATGAAGTCAAATTTTATTTTTATATCATAATAATTTTATATACCCTGCGTAATTTTTGTCTCAATTCTTCGATATAATTATAAAATACGTATCTCCAAAGTTTTTCTTCGATATTATGTTCGTCGGCGAACTTGAGATCACTTAAAAGAATGTCCTCATAAACGTCTTTGAGGCTGAATGATAATAGTATAAGAAATGATCAATAGTTAGGTGATGGATTAAAGTTAGGCGATAGACCAAAAATAATCTTACCTGTTCCGTAAAAATTCAGTCTCCTCGACTAATACAGCCAATTTCTCGGGGCTATCAGTTTTCCTTTTTTCCTGTTCTTGCTTCTTTAGCTCTCTCTCGAGATCAGAAGCCTCACTTATGATGTTTTTAACATTAAAAAACAATTGAAAATATGACAGTATTATTGATTTTCTATGATAAATACACACGAGATTAGTTCTTTCAGCCTTTTCCTGTCTTCGATAACATTTGTTGACATTGTATAGAATAATTAATCCATTATGCGTTGGTAACGACCTATTTTTAGTTTGCAAAAAGAAAGTAGTGGATTTTAAAAGTAGAATGGTTAATCTATTTTATGGTAGATATCAACACTCTTTATAGTCACTTTATCGAACCAATACTATATATATGTGCATATAGACTGTACAATAGCTGTCACGTACGTACGAAACTTTCTTATATCTGGAGAAAAAACAATTCAAAAAGTTTTTATCACTTTTTTTCTCTTTGGCAATATCGATATAAAGGTACAGTTAGCTGTTATACGATTTTCCATAGCAGTCACACATCTAAAATTTTATCATAAATTACACAAAATCGACGAAATTACATTTTTTTAAACCTTTACCTAAAAGCTTAGTTGAAGTACACTATGTTTCTTAAGACAAAATTATTGCTGAAGTTTCTACGAGCTATAAGGTAGAATGACCTATTCCGCAAACTTTTTTTATTATATATATAAATTTTTTAAAAAAATTAACCAAAATTTCTAAAAATACCCTATGGTGTGATACCCGGTACGTATAAGAAAAATATATTATTGGGGTTAGGGTTAGGGTTAGAATTAAGATATATTTATATGTAAAATTAGGCGCTGAACATTTTTACTTAAGAGCATTTTTGGTTTTCTTAATAAAATTATGAGATATTAACTTTTTTTTCTTATATCTGGGTACCACACCCACCGGGTACAAATAGAAATTCTTATATTTTTTTTGATAACCTTGCACTAAACTTTATTAATTTCTATGGGACACCTGCATACATGAATGTCAATTAATAATCTTGTTAGGCAATACCTGGCTGCTTCAAAAGTGTTTAAGTATAGTTATTGCACTGATATTTGTTAATAAGTTCTACATAGAGTACTGTATTTTCTTGAAAATAAGCTACTACCAAAAATAAGCTACTCTCTTTCTTTCATGCAAAAAATCTAAAAATCTCTTTTACTCCAAATAAGCTATCCCAAATTTTTAAAAATTTTTTAACAGTTGCTATATATAGTCAACTCCCTCTAAGTGCATGTTGTTGGGATCAGTACTTTGACCTGTATTTAGAGAGAACTTGCAATTAGAAAAAAATTAAAATTATTAAAAATTTTATTATAATTTAAAAAATAACCTGCCAATAATGTTTAGATTCATTAAAGAAAAAAACTTTTTCCAATGATCACCTGCACCAAAATTTTGAAGAGAAGAAACCTACTTTTAAGGCACAAAAGCATTAGGTAGTATAGCTTCGGGTCATATTAAAAAAGATAAAGCATAGAAAGATACACTAGTGTACCAAGTTTGAAAGAAAATAAACAACAAGAAAGCACTTTAGCTTTAGGTTTCTGCATATTTGGCAGATAGTTTTTGAAAATTTGGGGAATTGTTCTAGATCCTATAACATAAATCACTGCACATGACAGTAAACAAAGTATATGTAAACAGGTAAATGAATAAACAAACAAGTATATCACCATTTGCAGATAGATGCAGGGGATACAAGATAGCATAAGAAAACAACTTAGTTACGTAAACTACGTTGGCATGCACATGACAAACAAATATCAATCACCGTCCTCTGAAGTAGAATGAGAGCAAAAAATAGAAATATACAAAAACCTTTTTGGAAAGTCCTTAAAGAAATTTAATGCAGTTAAGAATAAACATAAGAACAAAGTTCTTAGAAAAGACAGAGAGGTAGCTAAAATGGTGAAAACAAAACTATAGCTAATATGCCTCTTTAGAAATATGATTGAGTTATATAACCGGTTAGAGTTTCTTAGAGTTAAAAATGCTAACAAAAACCAAACAGTAAAGCCTGAAGAGGTACTTAGAATAAAAGAAGTTTTAAATGATTAAAAATATGGCTGTATAGACTACAGAGTCTTAGAGAAATTAAACATAAATAAATACAAGCTAGCATATGAACAAATAGAGACAAGTTTAACCTCCCAAAAAGAATTAGCAAAAGAAAAGTCAGCAGTAATTGAAGAGCTTCTAAACGAAACCAAAGAACCTTATATGCCCAGAGATGAAGAAACAAATTTCAGACAAAAAAATAGGCAATCGCTATCAGAAGGAAAAAAAGAAGAAGAGGCAAGATATATGCAGAATTCTACAATAGTACAGAAAAAGGTGTTTCTACAAGAATGTTTTATATTATGGGATATTCTACTTGACATAAAAGCGATTAGAATACGAAGGTGTTTCCAATTTTATAGCTAGATACAATTTAAAAGGTGGGAACTCATTGGAAAAAAGAAAGTAGTATCTTTCATGATAACTTTCAGAAATGAAAGAAAAAAGGCTCTATTGGAAAAAGCTTGGGTGGTACATTTTGAGGAAGGAAAAATGTTAAGAATATCGAAGAGCAATTTTGCAAAAGATATTATTGAAGATAGAGCAGAGTATAAGGCTGTAGTCAAGAATATCCCAAAGATAGTGCTAGAAATAATACTGCTGAGGCAATTGAAAGTTGTTAAAGCATAGGCAGTGTATATATCCCACAATAGCAACAAAAATCAAAGGAGTACAGCATCAGTTTTCTTTGAATCAGAAGAGGATTTGTGTGCAGCCCTGAATAAAAGGGTGTATTACTACAATACAAAATTAGAATGGGTAAGGAGTAAGGAATATAAAAAGAAGGATAGTAGTACACATAGAAACGACCCAGTATTCATAGAAGAAAAACCATTATGAAGGGATGTAGAAGAGCCCTTAGACACCCTGGGAAAAAAGAAAGTAGTCGACTTTGGTGAAAATAAAGAGAATGAGGATCCAACTAAGTGACAGTTTAAATAAAAAAACAATCCCAAGAGTAAACAACCAGAGATGATTGTGCAGGCTAATGAAAAAAAGCCTATAGAAATTAAAGACATGCTAACAAAAGATTTTGGGTCAAAATCCCGAACAACGGATTATCAAAAGAATATAAAACCGACTAAATTGGCCAGTATTATGGCTAGTGCCGGCTAACTTTGTCGGTATTACGTTCTTTTGGGGATCTATTGTTCGGGATTTTGACCCAAAATCCTAACAAAAATACTAGGCAGACTAGAAAAAATTGAAGCTCAACAAGAAACGAAAACCAGATTCAGAAAAAGGAGCCCATTTCCCAGATGCTCCTAAAAGTTGCCACAGGCATAACAAGAGAAAAAGGTAGCGAAGCTACTAAGTTCGGAAAAGAAGGCAATGGAGAGAGTAGTAGGGTGATAACTGTAGGGATACATAATATAAATAGGGTTAAAACGAATAAATGTAAGATAGATAGCTTGGTAGATTTTGCAATGAAAAACATAAACATTTTGGGCTTATGTGAGACGAATATACAAGATAGAGAGGGTATTTGGAAGATTACCACGGAGGCAGGTATATTGGCTTCTGGGTGTCAGCAGCAGAAGAAAAGAAAAAAGGTTCAGGGGTGGCACTTCTAGTACACAAAAGTATCAAAAAATATTTAGCTAGAGTTTTAAAGTGGTCACCATATTTATTAGAAGCGATATTTATCTTTAAAGAAGAAGTGTGAATTTTGTTAGTGATTTACATACCACCAAATGATAGTGAAGTTGAAGAAGAAATTTGCTGAAAGGTAATAAAATGAGCAGAACAAAAATACAAGAATAAGGAGACAAAATTTATATGGTGTGGGACACCTAAAGGTGGAAGTCACGTGACTTGTTCCATTTTGCACTAAATTTCAAAAAGTTCTCAAATCGTGCAAAAAACCAATTTTCATCTAATCGAACCCAATCGAACCCAATCACGTGACAATCATATCACGAGATAGAGTTTGGAACTAGTTTATTTCTTATTTGCAAAACCAGTTTCAAGCTATTATGAATTACGTATTATATGCACAGACTCAAGGATTGACTTCAAGCCAATTTATTTAATTTTAATTAAATTTTATTTATTTATATTTTTTTTTTTATTTAATCGCACATTATTTATATTTTTTTTATTTAATCGCATATTATTTATTTAAAATTATTTATTTTTTTATTTTCACATTAATTTTATTTAAAGTTATTTATTTTCACGTATTAATTTTTTATTTATTAATTTTTATTTATTTTTTTTTCTTTAATCGCACATTGCATTTTATTTATTGAACACGATTCATTTCCCTATTTTCTTCCACAAATAAATCTAATTCATTTTGAGGAACTCTCCTATGGGATTTGAATTTTTTACATGCATATTCTGCTAACTTTCCCGTTAATCCTTCATGGTATAACCCCATATATCTCCACGATTTGTAAGCAAACTTTCTAATTTTAACGATATTTACTGAATCAAGTGCTTGTGGAACAGTTTCTTGCAAGCCAGTCTATGTGTAATCGCAGTGATCTCTTGCATATCTCTTAGCCGCACCCCAATACCTTTCAATAAAGTTAAGTTTACAGTGGAACTTCGGATAAAAAATACAAATATGCCCGGCACCTTTGATTAATTCCACAATAGCAGACCTTTGGGCAACAAAGTCTGGTTGAGAGGCCATAATTTTCCTCAAGCAGCAATCTATTCAGCCTGAGTTTTTCTTTTTTTTTACACTTTTCACAATCTAGATTTAACCCCTCTTTCCAAAGTCCTCTTTCCTCTAACACCTTTTTTATTCCTTTTGGCTTTCCTCTCATATTGAGGTTGGGGTAATTCTTCTTGAACACCATTTCTTGCACTTTTCGTCGACCATTGATATCAATGAAAGTTGTGGGTCACATTACATCTTGTTTTCTTCCAGGTCCTTTGTTCATTCTTTTTGCTATAAGAGCATCATCTACAAATGCCACGTGATTTGTACTGTTATCAAAAGCGAAGACAGCTGTTGCACCAGGAAATTTTGCTTCAAAAATGGGGATGGCTTTTTCTTTGATTTGTTTCAATAAATGTTTAATTGTCTAGTAATTCTCTTCATTTTTACCGGGTGTTAGATAACAACGCGCTTCTGTGGAAACATTGGGATTGTTTTTTTTTTCTTTCTCACTTA